CCCCCCCACAGTATATTTTTTTAAGATGTAGAATACCGTAGGTGTTTCAGGAGATACTGTCTTGTGTGTGGTTTTCTCTTTCTCTCTCCCCCCCTCGCCGCCTTTTTCTCCCTTTCCACAAAATGCTCACGTGTTTCATCTTCCCCCCACTCCCCAAAAATTTTTGGGACAATTTTTTTTAAATTCGGTGACCAAAGGTTTTTAGAAAAATGTGCTTGCATGTCAGCTTCGCTCTTTTCTCTGTCCCACCCCATTTCCGGTGTTGATACTTCTTTTTCTGGTGGGTATGCCCCCCCACCCGAGAAGGGAAAATCTGTGTCTTATTTCTTCGGGCAAAAAGAAAAATATCTCTCTCCCCCACCCCGGCTACTCTTGGCCATGGAAAAGGGGGGTGCCTTTAAAAGCGGCTCTCGGTCTGGGGTTTGTGGGGCCACACTTGGGGATCTGGGGGAGGAAAGACCGATTCTGGGAAACGTGGTCAGTTCTGTGGCAACCCAGTTGTAGACCTCCAGCCCACGGGGTGGCTCGTTGTGTGGCATCCGTTCTTTCTTCCAACTGGCCGAACGATTGTCATTTATGGCCGTTGTTTGGGTCGTTTTGTTCTCTTAAAAAAAAGTTTTGCCTTTTGAATTGCTGCAGATAATCGACTGATTTGTGGCTGTCTCACTGGCTTTGACCACGCGCAGCCATGTTTCCCACCAAACCTGTGTGAAACTCCTCTTTTTGTGCCTCCCCGTTTTTGGGGTGGCTTTAGGAAGGGGAGGAAAGGCGGTCCTTTATAGGCCACGCGGCGTGGCACCCGGTGTGTTGATTTGGGGGCCCTCCCTGTTTGATCGAGGTTTTGGGAGGGCAGATGGTCTCAAAAGATGCCTGAAGATAAAATGGGGTTCCTCAAAGCTGATTTATCGGGTTTGGGAAACTGGTGGGTGGGGTGGTTGTGGCCCCTAGGAGTAAACCTGTACACCCCGCAACTTATGATGGGTTATGTAGTTGACCCCTTTGGGGGATGATGGCTGTTGTAGGTCACTCGGCCCAGATTTAGAAGGTAATAATTATTTCATTCTTCAGCTAAGAAGGAAGCACAGCGGCTGTTCCAAAAATACTGCCCCTCGTGAAAATGAGAACTTCAAAGGGACTCCCAAAAAATCCCAGGATTCCCCCCCAATTTTTTTAAAGACTAGTTTCTACCATCTTTAGGTCTGTCTTAGAGATCCACTTGGTCCCTGTTTCAAAATATGAATATATCCAGAACCCCCCAAATGGAAAACTTCCCGTAATAATTTAAAAATATTTCCACTTGCCTTTCCTTCCCCCTCTGTGACGATGCCTGGGACGGATCGTGTGGGTTTTTGGGTTTTTTTGGTGTGTGTTTAGCCCGAATTTTCAAAACAAAAATAGAAGGGTGTGGATTTGGTCATGACTTCATCCCATTTAAAAGGATCCCCTTGGTTTTTTTTTTAATTATTATTTTTACTTTGGTTTTCGGGGGGGGGAGGGAGACGGGTCCTTCTTTTATATATAAATCTCCTTTTTTTTGGTTTTGTTTTGTTTTGTTAAGAAATTGGAATAAAAAGCTTTTAATAAACGAGGTCCGTTTTGATCCTGGGAATCCAAAATTCCAGCAACCAGTTCGTGATGTTGGGTTTATCAGCAGGACCGGGGGGGTGGGGGGTGTTCCTGTTTTTCTTCTTAAAGAAACTTGTGGAAGCCGAAACTTGCCGGAGGTTGAACCGGAACCAAATCCACCTGCCCGCCAACTCCGGAAAGCCTTTTGTGGCTCTGTCCTCGTATTTTTTTATTTTCACCGCGCTGACCTTACAAGGTAGGCCATCCGGAAAAAGGGATTTTGGAGATTCTGGTTCCGGCGCTCTGTAACGTCTGTGTGTGCGTGTGTGCGTGCCACACATGTTCTTTCCCGCTTTTACAAAACCAAGGGGTTTTACCAAAAAAGGATTTTACAAAACACTTTTTTGGGGGGAAAGGAGCTCCTGGTTGCCAACTTTTTAAAAGGGGAGGGGGGGCTGGTGGATGGTATGAGGTGTGCTTTGTAGGTTGGCCACAAGAGGGCGGTGTTGATCCCCATTTTAAGGAAAAGCGGATTAATTTCTTTTTCCTCTGATGAAAGAGAGCGTTAATCTTCGTGGAAACTGGGCTATTGGGTCTGCCTGTAATTTTACACCTCCAGCAGGAGGAATGCTGATCTAGAAAAACTGGAAGGAGCGGAAAGATAAGCTTGCTGGCCAAGAAAAAGATCTGAAATTCTGTGTACTTCATCATTTTCCTATTTGTGGCATTTAATGAGTGGTTCTTGCCCAGTGCAATTTTCAGCTCAGAGCCATGAGGACTAGGATCTTGTGTTATTTCCAAGCCTAGCACAGAGACAGTTTTAAAAAAACAAGAATTTCTGTGTCGCTTCATATGTTTTCCTCTGGTGGCAAATGCCTTGGGGTGTGTTGGGAACCCTTTGGGTGGTTTTATACTACAACACCCATGCCCCCCCCAGCTGGCCCATTCGAGGGCCGAGGATGATGGCGAGGGGCTTGAAAACAGCTTGGAGGGTGTGGACAGCGGTAAACGTGTCTTTGTGGGTTTGGGGCTCTCATCGTCCCTTGCCGTTAGTTGAAGGCTGATGGGATGTGTAGTCCCAACACACACACACACACACACACACACAAAACCACAATTGCTTTGAAAAATAACACGTAATGAGCTAGCTCTGCCTTTTCCAAGCATGAGAAATATCACCCTGCTCCCGTTGGGGGTGGGAACTCCACACAGAATTACTGAAATGTGGCACATTCAAAAAGCACAAGGCTGCCTCTCATTTAAGGGTGTTAATTTTTCATGGTGCTTTTAAGCACCAAATTACAGCCTTCGTTAGAAGGCTGCTAATTATTTATTTAAAGGTGCCGATGCAAGCTGGCTGGCTGGCAGCGGAAGTCAAGTGTGGCCGGGTAGACAACCCTCTTCGAAGCGGATTATCTCGGGGGTGGGAGAAATTGGGGGGGGGCTGGATCGGAGAAGGCAGGTAACCCAAAATTTGGAACTGGCCCCACAAGTGGTCTCGGATGAAACGAAAACTGGTGTCTGCTGTTTTTGCAATATCTGGGTTGGGGGGGGGAGCCTAAAATAGAAAAAAAAATCACTTATTTGCCGAATGGCGGTTCACCAGGGTGACTTTACTCACAATTACATCAGAGTTTTCCCAAGGTTAAGAGATTACAAATTTGGCGAGAGGGAGAGCTCAAAAATTAGGTAATATTTCCAAGCTCTTTACCTCCAAGA